TCCTAGTGCTCAGCCTGCTGGTTCACACCAGCAGTACCCCTAATTTTGGGAAACCCCAATTTAGAAACCCTAAACCCTTAACTGTGAGAAGCTCTTAGTCGCGATTCTTTCGGGCAGTCTCTATGGATGCTTGGCGTTATATTGGGATAATGGAAAATAAAATGGAAACTACTCTTTAGGGTTCAGCACAACTGGGTTCTGGCTGAGGTACCATCACCATTGTGATTGCTGACTTTTATTCTACGTTGGGCTTGCATAGTCACAAAACTCTAGAACGTTTGAAGTTGTCCAACCTTTTGGTATGCCTGCATTAAACCGACAATCGTTGTTCAGCAGGTTTGACTTAAGTATGCATAAGCCTGCAGCAAACGGTGTTCGGGTTCTCAGGTATTTCTGAGCGGAGCTGGAGCAACATTGCACGGAATCCTCCACATCGGCGCTGGCACTGCCTCGACCTAACGTCGGGTCCGAAAGACCTAGAATACGTTGTTGGGGGTATATGTAACTCACTTGCACGTAAAGATGACATTTTGAGTAATAAAGGTTTTTACAGTAGCGAATGAATGATCAGCTCAAGTTTCGGCGTGGAAGCTAGATGAGTTCACGCAATCGTACAAATCCAGAATTTCGGCAGATGGGCATCCGATGCATGCACAACATAATGATGATGACGCCACTCAAACGCGCCATTGGCAATGTATATGTTTCCTGGTCGTCACCTCCTCCGCACTTGCCCTACTGCCATCCGTACTACAAGTATGTCCTTCAATTTTACTAGCAGTACTACTAATAATATTACGCTGTAGTACTGTTAGTGTTAGCAGTATTTGAATATGACTATGAATTCGCCTCGACCTCTGGCCGACAGGCGTCCAGAACAAGCTGACCACACTCTTCTTACTTTGTAAGACTGACTTGCTTTGGGCCGTCTTGGCCTCCTTGCCAGCCCGTCTGCCCAGGCGAACGCGCGCTAGCGCTTACAATCAGAGTATAGCCTAAGAGTGCTATCATCAGACTTTGACATCAACTCTGTGTCCGGGGCCGAATCCCTTGAGCTTCGTGTTGAAGTCATCAATGGCACGCGAGCTGCTCCCGCGCATTACTTGCAAATAGCAAAATCTGTATGTCTGGGATAGCTAGCCAGTCAAAATTCTTAGGGGTCCCCTTTTTGGGAAGTCCCTATAAGCAAGGATTGCAGTATTTTGGTGCAGATTGTAGGCATGCCACGGGGCTTATGACCTTTGAGCTGTCAGCTGTCAATTATAATTGTTTTGGGTTTAGGGTTTTAGGGTTCAGGGTTTAACGTTTCGGCTACTCGCAGAGGAATTCCTGTATCCCGTTTTCTAGATTATGGGCCCTTTATGGATACCCACGATAGCCTTAGATCTATAAGGGGTACCAGAGACGGTTCAGGGGGGCTACCTTCTGTTGGCACCCTAAACCCCAAACCCTAAACCCCCTGGTGGCAAGCTCGGAGAGCAGATGAGGATAGAAGCTGTCTCAGCTTGGTGTTGGCATTCTTGAAATGATCGATTTATTGCTATTGGATATTATTGGGTATCATTGGGCTTGGGAAGCTCAAAACCCCGCTTCTGTGAGCCAATGCTTCTCGGAGCAAGATGCTGGCTTTTTCAACGACACAATCTGCCCTCCTCCAGCATTGATCTGAAACGCTCGCCATGCTGTTTCTCCGCGTCTTAAGCTTCTAGGCTGCGTCTTTCCGAGCTACGTCATGATGGCGTCTGCCACCGTGTCATTGATTATTGGAGCAGGCTCCGGTGAGGCGGTGCCTGAGGGATTTGAGGGGCAGCTGTCAGGAATCTCAAGAGGCTTCTGAAAGGCCGGCTTCGAGTTGGGCTGCGCCAGATTCTCCACACAGCATGCGCGGGTGCTCCGCAAGAACTCGCTAACGTTCAGGGAAACCCCCATGGTGCCAACGTCGAAGAGCAAGGGCTTCTTCATCTCCGTGACGGAGCTATCTACAAGTAGAAGAGGAGGGCGGCCTTCAGCATCAGGTGGATACCCAAAGGGTGGACACACAAAGGCTGGAAAGCCAGTCTCCTTGGAAATGTCAGTCAGCTTGCACTTCTTCACCGAGGCCACATTTTTCTGGACCGCTTTAGCAACTTTCTCAACGTCTGTCATCAAGGGGTGCGGGACCACACTAAGGACCCGCCGCCCCTCGACTTGCCAGGCCACAGTCTGCATGAACACGCCATGCGACACGAAGTTTGAGTTGGCCCGTAGATACACATCCCAAGGTGATGCGTCAGTGGCTATCTTGTCGTTCAATGCAGCTGCCTTGCCCGCCTTCTTTGCAGCGGCCTTGGCCTTTGCGGCCTCCTGCTGCCTTAGCAATGCTTCAGCGATTGCAGCACAGGAAGAAGCTAGCAAATTAGCAGCCAAGCAGCCAGCACATGATACTTAACAAAGCCTGATTAAAAACAAAAATCCAACATGATGCCTGTACCATCCCTGCAGGTCCCTCCACCTACCAATCTAGCCAAAGGCAAAAAGCTGTGCTGTGCAGGCACCCCCCACCACCCAGCCTTTGATCTGTGCAGCCAAAGCACGCATATTTGATCGATCGGAAAGATTTGTGCAGGGTATACCTCTCAGAAAGGCATTGGGCTTTCACGGATATAGGGTCCCTTGAAGGGATTAGATAGGGCATGCCTTGGACAAATTCCCATGTCGATGCTTCAATAGGCCTACTTGGAGGGTCATGGGACTTAGTAAGTGGGTT